CCCGGCCTCGCCGCTCCGACAGCTGCTGCATCCCGCACCCCGGCCGTGCCTCCGGCCCTTCGGGCTGCTCAGCGTACGAGCGGGCTCCGCGCGGCGCTCCGGCCTCCTTCAGACCCCGGCACCCTGCTCGTGCGGCTGTGGAGCTCTGCACACCGAGGGTAAGGTTCGCGTATCCAGGCCGGGGTGCGGGGGCCCAGCTTGGAACGGATCCCGGACTGGCATCGCAGTCTCTCCTCGTGTCTTCGAAATATTACTTGGCAAAAGCCCGGAGGGGTCGTGGATTGAAAATGTGGTTGCTGGGCATGCCTTTGGCAAGTGGAAGAGGGTAGTTGGGGGATATGCGGAGACTAGTAAATAGTCCATGAAGATTGACTTCTAGAACACAGTGTATCCCAGTAAATATAACCTAGGGTTTTTTTTACAGAGTGGAAAAAGGGCGTTTTCAAGCGTGAATTGGGCTAGCGTCTTGGAACAGCCACAGAAAAAGAATAGACACCGTCCAGGCCTATAGGGTAAAGCAGTTGGCTTTTCTCTTTTTGGATCATCTTGGTTTTCCTTTTAGGAGACAAAGCCTTTGTTGAATTCTTGACGGATGAAATTAAGGAAGAGAAGAAAATCCAGAAGCATAAATCCCTTCCCAAGATGTCTGGAGATTGGGAGCTGGAAGTGAACGGTACAGAGGCTAAATTATTGCGCAAAGTTGCTGGGGAGAAGTAAGTACTGGCTCGGGAGTTGTAGGAGGCTAAATTCCTCATTCTACAGCATCCATCCAGTCCTGTCCATTCCCAGACGATCCTGCGCATAGGCCCCGGTTTTGAGAAAGCATGCTGTTTGAAATTTTCTTAGGGTCCAGGAATACATTCACGGATACACATCTGCTGTGGCCCGGTAATTAACGAGACATTAAGCAGCTCCAAAATGTATAGAGAGAAGTCTGTTGGAATGGCAGACACAGGCCTTGGGTTACTGATGACAGTGCTGTGCCCCTGCCTGGATTTAGGCACTGAAATTTAGGATTCTTTTTTCTTGTTTGGTTTGTTTATATGTGTGGCACTAGCTGTCCTGGAACTAGCTCTGTAGACCAGACAGACTGGCCTCAAACTCACAGAGATCTGTCTGTGCTGGGTTTAAAGGCGCGTACCACCACCAGCCAGCCCCTAAGAATATTTAAAGTGCTGATAAATTTATTTGTTTAGAATTCACATAAAATTATCCCCTCTGACCTGTGTTTATAGCAGTTGAAAATGCAACATATGTAACGTTTAAGTTATAGGATAAAGTTACAGTGTAGACAGGCCTTCAGAGATAGAGTTCTTAGCCAAGCTTAGTTTACTTACTCTCCACTAAACTGCTTTGTTTTTGAAAAGGGGTCTCTATCTTGCTGTTTAACACAGACCGACCTCCTACTCTTGGACCTCCTGCTTCAGACACCTATGTGCTGAAGTTATGGCCTGTGCCACCACACCTGGCATCCCTAAAACTGTTAAGCCCTTGTTTCTGCTGTTTTGTTATTCATTCACCCAGTCTTCCTTAGAGAAATTCTTCTGGGCTAAATGCTAGCATGTGTGAGGCCCAGGATCAATTCCCAGTGCCTCGTGAGCACAGTGTGTTCTCGTGTGTTAGAAAGCAGTTTTATTCAGTGAGGGCCAATAATCCTAGTTCAAGGCCAGGCTGGGCTGTGGTGGTACATGCCTTCAACCCCAGGAGAATGTCTTGAATTCCACACAGCCAAGGATACACGGAGAAACCCTGTCTCTAAAAAAAAACAAAAAACAGAAGAAGGCTGGGTGGTGGTGGTACACACCTTTAATCCTAGCACTCCAGCAGGCAGAGGCAAGCCTCTGTGAGTTCAAGGCCAGCCTGGTCTACAAGAGCTAGTTCCAGGACAGTCTCTAAAGCTACAGAGAAACCCTGTCTCAAAACCAGGGGGAAAAAAAAAACAGAAGTGGGTCATTGATTCTGGGGTGTGGGTGCATCTGATGATGGCCTTCCAACAGGATGATAAAGTACCGGTTTCTGTATCTTTAAAACTTTTAGAATTCAATCTTGGGAATCACTCTCCCTCAACTCCCTACTCCTTCCAGTTCCTTCCTTCCCACCCAGCTCCATACCCCTCTGTTGTTTTTCTTGTTTTGGTTTTTTTAGAGATCGGATTTCTCTGTGTAATCTTGACTGTTCTGGAACTCTGTAGACCAGGTTGGTCTTGAACTCAGAGATCCATCTGCCTCCAGATTGTTGGGACTAAATGCCCGTGGCACCGCCGCCTAGCTCTTTTTCTTAAAAACACAAACCACCAGGTACACCTTTAATCCCATTGCCAAGAGGCTAGTGTATCTCTAAAGTCAAAGCTAGCACAGTCTTAAGTGATGTGTACAAAATATCATTGGGGCCTCCCTTGAAGTATGATCGATAAATATATCCGTTGATACCATTGTAGAAGACTGGTTTTTCCTTTGCAGCTAGTATCAATTGCGGGTATCTTGGCTTGGAGCGGGAGCCCACCTGGCTTGAATATAGCCAGTGAATGCCCCATTTCTAAACATCACAGGTTGACACTTCTACTCTCTTGGACTAATGGGTGTCACTCTTTGGTAGATGCATGGAGCCCTGGGTTTGATCCCTAGTCGGGGAGATGTCTCACCCTCTTAATATCATTAACTTCAGAAATTAAGTTTCTGCATACATGAGGGAAGAATGTAAACCATGTTCAAACTGCTTGCCTAACGTGTAAGGCTCAGAGTGCAATCTCCAGCACTACACACACTTAGACCTTTTAGCACTGGCACGAAGAAACCATTGCAAACATTTGAGTCTGTTTTCTTAGAGCTCTACAATTTCAGACCTTAAGGTTTGTGATCCATTTTTGAAGTAAGGGTCTTGTTTGTTTTTGCACAGTATATTGTGTTTTGCCTCATAGATCACTTGTAACTTCACCTAAATCATTTTAGGGGTTTTCAGCCCATTTTGGACCCAGGAACTCAGTTTAGTCCAAGGTTAGGCATATTTTATGGTTTAGCCTGCTATTTTTTTATCTATGGCAAAGTGGCCTGACAGCAAGGCATTGATTGGCCAGTTCAGCTCCAAGAAGCAGCATTCAGTGCGTTCTTACGTGGGTTGGCCCTGCTGAAACAGAATAGTCGAGAACCTTCTGCTTCTGGAGATCAAGGCAAAGGAATTTTTTCTCATTTTAGAACATGTTTTGTCACCTACAACTTACCACAAAGGGGGCAGCGTGCAGCTGTGAACATTTGTCAAGCATACACAGGATGTTTGTTGAACTCCAGAACCTCAAAAAGGGGGAAAGAAAACATTACTGGATGTTTCAGTTCTCTGTGTGTGGTT